TTAGAACTCGATAATTATCCTAATTATATTTTAGATTTTTTATATTTTAAAATAAGATGTTTATCCTCTATTTGATTATATTTATCCACAATTAGTTGTACGAATTCAAAAATCGAGCTTTGATAAGTTGTACTTTTCCATAATTTACTTATAATATTGAATTTTAAGTAAACATTGGTTTTATTATCTGCAGTTAGTTAAACGAATTCAGATATGGAATGAAATCGTTTAGGGATGAACGTGCTTATGAGTTTTTAAGAGTTTTAAGAGTTTTAAAAGCTTTTAAGAGTTTTAGCCAAATGCTTTATAAGATAGTATAGATAGATAATATTCTTACGATTTAGTGAAGTAATTAATTTTTGGTTTAACAATAAAATTTTATAAAGATAATGATTCTGTTAAAAACTCAATAATTATCCTAATAATATTTTAGATTTTTTATATTTAAAATGAGATGTTTATCATGTATTTGATTATGTTTATCTGCAATTAGTTATACAAATTCAAACATGAAGCTTTAATAAGTTGTACTTAAACACAATTTACTTGTAATCTTAAATTTTAAGTAATATGCATTAATACACAGTATTTTATGCATAATAAATGGTTTTTAAGAGTTTTTGTCAAATGCTTTATAATATAGTATAGATATTGATTATAAAATTTAGATGTAAATTTCGTAATGATGATGAATAAGTATATGAAGTTGTATAAATTTATCTATAAATTCAATACTATAAATTTAACAAATTAAGGCATTTATCAATTTATAAAAACAAACAATCTCATTGATTTTACTTTCAGGCTTCGACAATATCTCTATACTATATTTGATTATGTTTATATGCAATTAGTTACACGAATTCAGATATGGAGCTTTAATAAGTCGTATTTACGCACAATCTACTTGTAATCTTGAGTTTTAAGTAATATGCATTATAAACAGTACTTTACGCATAAAAAGTACTTTTTAAGAGTTTTTTGTCAAATGCTTTATAATATAGTATAGATTATTTTTTTTTATAATATAATTTAAGTTTAATAATGAAATAATTTATTTTTGGTTTAATAATATAACATTTTATAAAGATAATAATTAAGTATTATGTTAGAATTTAATGATTATATTTTAGATTTTTTATATTTAAAATGAGATGTTTATCCTGTATTTGATTGTGTTTATCTGCAGTTAGTTACAYGAAATCAGATATGGGATGAAATCGGATAGGGATGAAATCGTTTAAGGATGAACGGGTTTAAGAGTTTTAGTCAAATGTTTTATAAGATAGTATAAATATAGACTAATTAATATACATAAAATGAATTATTATAGATAAATAAAATATATATTTAACTAATTAATATACACAAAAAATATTATAATTAAATGATAAATAATTGTCAAATGTATAAAATTGCTATTATTTAACAATGAGCTCCTCGTAATGAAGATTCACGAGGCCATAAATCAACTATAAAAAATAACTAGTATCACTACAATAAAATCGGGTTTATAGAATACTAACAATTTCTAAGCATCATAATAGACCTCTTTATAAGACTTAGTTTATAGAAACAAAAAAAAATAAAAGCGTCGCTTTGTAATAAGTTTATATGACGTTTTTAACGTCATAATAAGTTTTTTAGGACACTTTTAATATAAACCGTTCCATTAACAACTTTATAGGACACTATTTGAAAAACTGTCCTATAAAAACAAACATTCTATAAAAAATTAATTTTATAGGACACTTTCTCAAAAGTGTCCTATAAAGTTGCTAATGCGACACTTAATATTAAAAACGTCCTATAAAACTTGTTAAGACGCCCAAAAGCGTCATATATATAAACTTATTACAACACTTTTAAATAGAAGCAACTTCTGAAACAAATGAATGATATGACTGCTTTGGTTAACGAACTCCGTCAATCACAATTCTCACCGCCATCTAATTGAATATCATTTGTTTATTTGGAACAATTTAGTTTGTTTGTAACATTGTGTGATATTTTAAATTGTATATGTTTTGTAACAATTGTTTAATTTAATCAATGTATGATATTTGGTTGCATTTTAATTTTTTAGTTTTATCCATATTTTTACAGATTTACAGGTTTTAAATATTTATTGAAAAATAAACAAAAAATAAAAATTTTATAATGAAATTCTTTTTCCGGCGGAAACATCCGCCGGCAATATTGAAATTGTTTAATAATATTTAAAACTAAATAAATATTAATAAAAAAACCACCAGCGGATTTTCGGCGGATCCGTCCACCGGTAACTTAAAAAAAATTTGAAAATCTTATTTGATTATTTTTTTTCCGGCGAGAAAAAACTCCGGCGAATTTCCGGCGGAAATATCTGGCGGAAAATTTAGTTAATTTTTTTTATTAAGTAAAACCAAATTTTTTAATTAAGCCGGCGAAAAATTTCCGGCGGCCGAAATCCGCCGGAAAACTCGACGGGAAATGAATCACCTGTTTGCGGCGGATTTGTCCGTCGGAAAAGAGGGTCATTTTGGTAGTGTTGGTCCTATTAATTAAATCTTATAAAACGGTCTATTGGGACGCTTAGAGATTGTGGGTGTCCTATAAACTCAATTTTGTTGTAGCTGTGGATGTTATTATGTAAGTGTTTGTAGCGACGACGATGGTGGAGGTAGAGGCGGTGGTGGTTAGTGGACGACGGCGACTGTGGAGGATGTGAAAATGGTGGTGGTGACGGTCGCCAATGTTGCAGGTAGTTGTGGCTGGCGCTTGTAGCTAGAGGTGGTGGTGGCGGTGGTCATGGTTGGTGGTTCTAGAGGTTGTAGGTTCTTAGTAGTGGAATGGATGTGACAAAATAAAGTCAAAACTCCTATATATCGAGCAACAAGCTAGTCGATTGTCGTAAATGTAACTCTATGTTGCTCGATGCCATACCTAAAGGGAAAACCAAAAGGATATTGTATAATCATCGACACCTTCAATAAAACTATAAGCATATTTTTGATATATCTGAGTACATTAAGCATTTGAAACTCGAATTTCCATTGTATAATAAGGTATTGAATTTTGTTGGCTGAATGTAGGGAACAAATACAATATTTTGCAGGCTTTGTCTATTAATGTTACAGTTAATGACAAAGGAAAATAGCAGGCAAAACCTGACAAACTTGGCAATTAAGTCATTTGTGGGGACTTAACATTCAATAGTTGCAAATTGACTCGTCTTATTCTTTTTCAGTCGACTTTTCCTACTAAATTTCCTTTGCAAAGTGTTCTTTAAAGACGGAATTATTCTCTCACAGATGACCCTTTTCTGGCTTCTCCCCATTCTTGCCTATCTCATACATAAATCTTTGTCTAAACCCTGATGTTTCGATCAAATTGCTTGCATTTCGACTCGTAGACTGTAGCTAAAAACGATATGGTGGTTTGAGGAGGTTCAAACTAACGACCTATAAAGATAAAGATGAGCACCAAGGGCTACCATTGTTGAGCTATAACACAGCGGTATTAGCGGTTTCTGGTCCTGCAGGAGTTGTATGTGTAGATTCCATTTATCCTAATACTCCATAGCATCTAGACCTATTTTGTATGCTCATTCACTTTGTAGCCAGATGCATGCTCTAATGAAATCATAAATTTAGAGCATATATGAGAACAAGAACACACTTCTGTACGTAGTGCAATATCATGTAAGACATGCATTCGCTGCGATTCTTGATTTCAAACCGAAACAACAAATATATATATGTGCATGGATTGATTGCAGCCTTATATCTGGTTCCTGAGTTCTTTAAAAAGCACATGAAATTACGAAATAAATCAGACTTCATACAACCAGTAAGCTAGTTAATCAGCTAGTCTTCCTTGCCTTATTGTCATTCGGGTTCTTGTATTCTTCTTCTTTCCCAGCTCTTTGCCTTCTTTCATATAACTTCTCCACTTGCCTTTGATTCTTGCCGATTAGGTCTTTGTTCATCGCATGTTTCGACTGATCACGACGCAATCCACTTCGTCTCTTAGAGCTTCCACGCAAGATCCCTTGGCGACTCGGACCAGAAGAGGCATCTGAGACCATAGAATCATCACTATCTCCATTGTGATAACCATCATGGATTTCATCTATCGCATCATCGACATCATGATGATGATGATTGTTATTCGTCTCATGCATGGGAGAAACAATGTACATGGTCCATCCTGATTCACTGCTGCTACACCCTTCCGCAACTCCAAGGTACTTGGAGAACTCCATTTGATCAGTACACAAGAATTGAAAACACTCAACTTCAAAGAACATGGACTCTTCACATATGAAATAACAAGAAAATACACTCAGAAGCATCATAAATTCCTTATTAACTTTAGAGCTGAATGGCAAGTGGAGGAAGAACCCCACTGTGCAATTGAGAAAGAAAAAAAAGTACCAAGTCACATGATCATAAATGGCTAAAAAAGAAGAGGATCCCTGCATTATTTAAGTTTTCTTCTGTAATGTCATCAACAGGGCTTTCTTTCATGTGAGATTGTACAGGCTATCCAACTGTATTTTGGCGTTTTCTTCAACCCCAAAACTTGCTTCCACTCATTTCTATCTGTTGTCTCTTTGTTCATAAAGTAGCCTCGTGTCTTTAGTTTTTGTGGGGGCTGCCAATATTAAGTATGCACATGAAAATAAGTGTAACAGCCACACACATTTTGTTCATAGAAATTTTGATTTATTAACCAGGATCAGTTGTTATCAAGATTTCATGATCACCGCGCGGTTGTTTTGTGCTTTCATACACGGTTTTGTAACCACACATATATAACGCCAGTGTTTATTGAAGTACATATATCATCTTCATATATTGTTCCAAAACCGTGTAAAATAACATTCATAATCACGTACGAAAGTATGTTTTTTTACATGTTTTTTAAGACAAAATTGGGTCATTTTATAGGTAGCCACAAATCTCCAAGTGTACTAATACACTATTTCACACCAAGTTCAAGGTAAGAACCAAGGTTTTTGTACAAGAACTCAAAAAAGGTGATTAAGGTTCTTATAAGAATTATCTTCACCGGTGGCTCTTCTAAAAACCTACACTTTTTTTGCTTGTAAGCAGCTTGCATTGAAAATGCTCTGATAGGCTCTTTATTTTAAAAGTGTTTTAAAAAACTATTTAAGAGGTCAAAAATCTTTTTATAAACCTCTTGCAACTCTATTACATATCACACAATATTTGGTCCCAAAACTTGAGTATATAAATTAACCTATTAGGACACATGGAGATGATGGCCTCCTACAAATCGATTCCTAAATTGCAATATATATATATATATATATATATAGAGAGAGAGAGAGAGAGAGAGAGGAGCGTTCAAATAAAAACCACTCCAATTTGAAAAAACCGTAAAAACTACTCTCATCCATCGTTAATCTTATGAAATTTTTTCATGAAATTGTTTCATATAATACTTTTTTTTGATGAAGTTGTTTCATATGTGGTTATAAAATTGTTTCATATACTACTTAATGAAATTTTAATGAAATTGTTTCATGTATTTCTTTAAAATTAAAATAATGAAGATGATAACATCCATGATTAACACCCTCCACAATAAAAATGGTTAATCAACCTCTCATAATTACAAAAATATGAACAAAATGAAAAATTATGATTGGTTGAATGAGGTTTTCACGGTTTTTACAAATTTAGTGGTTTTTATTTGAACTCACCCCTATATATATATATATATATATATATATATATATATATATATTGAATCTGTGGCTTTGTTATAAATGAAAGAGGAAAGAGAGGCTTCTTGGTTTGTTTACTTGACACCTGAGTCTCTTTTCTCTTAGTTGCCAGATGAATGAAAAGGTCAGCTTTAGAAGTGGGAAATGTAGTGGAGCCCGGTGAAGAGGTCATTAATAGCCTGCTGATGCATTTCTCAATTACACCTTTGTAATGGACACCTTGTACTTCTGTCTTCACATGAATAAAGCTCACACTTTTTATAATGCACTCAACCCAACTGTATCTGGCTTTGGCCCTTTTGTACCATCAATCCTGTGGTTGTCTATCCTCATAAAGCATGTTTATGTCGTTGAGTCGGCTCACTGAGTCGAGTTTTGCCAATTATACTAATCTAGTTAAACTAGGTGGACTGTACAGGTTGATTTTTGCTGTTAAACATAACTTCATTTTCCCTTTGTATCTTCAATAATATCTTGTGCTTGTCTGTCATCATAAAGCATGTTTATGTCATTTTTCTTGCTAAATGAACCCAGTGAGTCATTGCATGGATGGTAATTTACTTATCGAAAGGCAAAATGGCATTTTGCCCTTGAGAAACATCTAGTGGATGCTTGGAAGGTTAGGCATTGACCCAAATCTATTTTCTTTGGTGTTGATCTTGGGTTTCTCTGTCCTCATAAGGCATGTTTATGTTATTTTTCATACTGAGTTGACTCACTGGCTCATTGCACCCAAGTCTTACCCATTCAGTAATCTTCAATTTACAAGGTAAATTGGCAATTTGTCCATAAAAATCTAGTTAAAACAGTTGGGCTGTTTATGGATGTGTCAGTGAACTCAACTGTATTAAATCCTTTTAATATCGTTCATTCTTGATCTTGGTCATATATAAAAAGCATATTTATATGTCATTTTCTTACTGAGTTGACTCACTGTGTTGTTCCACTGAAGTTTTGCCCATGGCGATCTTCTTTTTGCTAGACAAAATGGCATTTTGCCCAAGTTAATCATCATGTAGTTGCATACTCAACTGTAATTGGCATTCTCTAATCATTCATCTCCTTGTCGTCCTCATAAAACACGTGAGTTGACTCACCGAGCCACTGGGTTCATGTTTTGTCCATGCTAATCTTCTTTTTACAAGAAAAAAATAGCAATTGCCAACAATCATCAGCTGGTAGTTGACTTGCCAGTGAACCAACTGCACTCGGCCTTTTTGTCAATCTTGTGCTGAAACGCCTGTCGTGATGAGTTAACCATGGTTATCTCATCTTTAATACTGAGCTGACTCACTAGATTAGTTCACTCGGCACTGAACCCATCTGAGTTTGGCTTTATGCATGTTCTTTGCTCATAATTCACTTCATCTAACTGTGTTAACTCATCTAGCCGTCTGTTATCATTCAAGTTTTACCAACGGTAATCCTTTTTCGACTGCCAAAACTACAAATTTAGTCATGAAAATCATCTAGTTTAAAGTAGATGGATCGATGCTAAGTGGGCACGAGCTTTCCAGTCTGTTCGGACCCGTTACACATGTGGCAGAAGCATCTTATCTGGTTATAACCAGACAATGAAGGGGCCCTTGATGCTACTGGTGATTTGATCATTTGGACTCTTGCTGATTTTGGCTTTTAGAGCTCCATTAAGAAGGGCATTGCTTTTCTAAGTTGGGTAGTTAATTGAGTGAACAAGTTGCTTCATCTTTTGTGTTGTTCGCATCTACTGGTTTTGTTCATTAATTCATATTTAGCCCAACCAATTTGCCTTTTTGGAGTCACAAAAAGTAGTGGTTGGTATGAAATTTTTGTTGCAAGTTATTGAGTTAATGTGCATAATAATGGTTAGGGCTGGCCTGGGTGCATGTGTGGGTGGGACTCATCAACGGCGACACGGATCCCGAGGCGGAGAAGCTTGTTGGTGGCTTTAAGGACCCTAGAACAAAATTACACTATATCTCGAAAAAATTATGGTTGCACAGGTATTCACTGGAACCCTAAATCGGTATCCGCCACGGGGGATGATTTCGATATCCGACTTGCACCATGTTTTTCTTACCGGACCCTATTTCTTGAATTAAAGAACCATGTTCCCTTCTTTTGTAAGGTTTCAACTTCAAATTCTTCATAAGGATAAACAATTTCTGGTTCTAAAGTCATATACGAAGAAGTAATATATGTCATTTATATATAATATAATATATATATATATATATATATAAAAGGGATGTTCATATCTATTTCAAGGGAATTGTGAGGTTTATTTACTACCATAAATGTTAATTTTTGATTAAATTACCGAGGTATTAATGATAAAAATTAACTAAACACTTATTTAATTAAAATTCGTTGGTAGTCTTTATTGATATATATGCATGGATTACTTATATCTAATTGATGGCTAACTTGACCACCGCCAGATGCTCTAACACAGTAACATGTTAATAAGTGTGAAAGATCGTGTTTGAATTTTTTCGTTGATATCATTTCACCGACGGATTAGCGACGAATTTTAATTAATTATGTATCTAGTTAAATTTTATCGTTTATTATTCAGTAATTTTAATCAAATTATTTTCTATTCTTTTAATTTGAAAAAAACACCAGGAGAAATATATTTTATTTTTAATTAAAATAAATTTCATCAGTAATCTTTTTTAAATCTTTTTCTATTTCTTTTAATTTGAAAAATCACATACAAAATATATTTTATTTTTAATTAAAATAAATTTAATCTATAATCCTTTTCAAATCCTTTTTTATTTTTTTTAATTTAAATTTCTTTAATTAAAATAAAATTTCATCAATAATCTTTTTTAAACGTAAGTATTTATTTTTTGTAAATGCAAGTACTTTTTGGTATATTTGTTTAATTTTATAGATGTGAGTACATTTTGATATAGAAAATACTTAGTGACTCAATCGTTCAAAATATGAAAGTACACTGATTTTTTTTCAGACTTTTTCTATTATTTTACCATATTAACCGGTTGTATGTGTTATAAGAATGTAGCTAACAGGTTTTAGAAAATCAAAATAATTATTTAATAAATTTTGAAATGTCCAAGGACTTAATCATCCAAACACTAAAATCCATTAATTTTTTTAGACTTTTTCTTTTAATATATTTAAAAGTACAAAAGAGGAATTCTGCAATCAAGAATCTTTGCAACTGAAATGGCGGAAATATAATTTCTCAAGGAGATAGAATCATAAACTTAACATGAAAGTGATTCGCTGATTTATTTATAATGAAATGCAAATGTATTTCGTTTATATATAGTGTAGGCTAAAAAACAAAACTCGCATCATTTCGCTTTATCGTATTCTCATCAATGTGGATTACCAAATTTAATATCAATAGAATAATTATGAATACCCAAATATCACAATATTATATAATCACCTTTAGTTCTTCTTCTATTACTGTGATGATATTTGACATTGAGATATATTGATTTATTAATGGTATATATTTTTATTTAACTTTTTATATAGATTAATATTTTAAGAGGGTTGACCAAATTGAACGAATGTATTTCTTTCCATTTATGCTTTAAACTCTCATTAGACTACACAAATCCATTTATGATTAGCCTACAAAAACAATAACTTAGATTTAGGTACCCGTTTTTTAATGGGTCCTTCAGAGTTAGTATCCTTTGAAGATGAAGAACTTGTTGAGACCGTAGATTTTGCCTTTGGTCTCCAGGTCTTAACAAGTTCA